TTTAATCTAATCTCCTATAATTATAAATTCGTCTACCCAGGTACTGACTCATCAAAAGGATACAAACGTCGTTGTATGCCTTGCTCTGTAACACCCGATCTACTAACTAATGAACAAACTTTGTGTCGCTTAGTTGGATTCCGCTGCTTGAACTCAAAGTTGCCTTATATTCATAAAAAGAAGAGTCACAATTTGAATGTACTACTTTTCAAATTGAAATTTTCAGAAAAATTTCGCGAAAAAATACCAGGATTTGCCATAAAAATACCAACACCGAAACATTGCAAAAATTAAAATCTGAATCTCGATAAGCTCCGAGAAATCCAGAACGTTCCAGAAAAATCTCGAAGTTATTTCGGAGGGTTCCGAGAAAGATAAATAAATACAAGCATTTAATTTCAAACATTTTCTGATTTTAGGAAAATTTGTAGCCGGAGGTTTTTAAGAGAGGGTTTGCTAAGGTTCTGGAAACTAAGCTGCAATAATTCCTGTGACGTTTTGATGTTGTACAGAAAAAACAAGCCCGTTTTCATTTTCTGAGTGAGGTTTTGGATTCTACGACCGAAAATCAATAATTATTCGCTATGAAAATTATTTACTGTATACAGGGTGTCGTAGACGACCCGAACACTCCTTCTAAAATAGTGGTAAATGATTTTTATTGGAAAACGCAAAAATGTGACCCATTAAATCTTTGGATGCTCTATCTTCTGGTCGTATAATCGACTTCCGGTTTCGACCGAAAATGGGTTACACTGACCGAAAGTCCAAGTTTTTTAATGGAACGTATATGCTTTTACCACAGACTCGGACATAACTTTTGTTTGAAAACTTTTTCTCTAAGATGCCTTCATCAACCTCTAAATGAACTTCGAGCTTCAACTCGTCCTGGACTCTTAAAATGGACGAAAATGGTTTTATTGGAAAACGAAAATATATGAACTACTACTCATATTACCGACTCCGGTTACGACCGAAGTGGGTTAAACCAACCGGAAGTCTATTCTTTTAACCGGAAATCCATTTCAGAAAAGAGTTCCCTACAAAAATTACCATCTAAAAAAAAAGGATTTAAGGTCGAAACATGAGGCCGTAATACGATCAAAAATTAGAGCATCGGCCGACTTGGTAGGCCGCATTTTAGCGTTTTCGAACAGAAATCATTACCCTACATTTTATAAGGTGTAGACGGGTGGTTTACGACAGCCTGTAAATCGATATATTGAGAGGATGTTCGTTTAAGGTCGGCTTGTATTTACAACTTTAATTGGATGATTTTTTCCACTTCCTATCTGCCGTTTTTAATGATCTCACATGTAAAATCTTTCAAATAAGGGTCGAAAAGACCCGTTTTTGGTAAGAGATAAGTGGTTAAAATGTTCTAAAAAAATGCCCGCAAAATTTTTGAAGACAAAATAATGTATGTAATGCAATAGAAAAAGTGGCCAAAAGGTGTAAACTTTAACCCATGTAAAAAAATTGTGATGAGGCCAAGGCATATGAAGCAGGTAGTAGCATTAGAACAAAAACCCCATTTACGTGTTCTTTGTTGTTCATTCTGGTCTCTAATGTGCAAATATAAAACAACTAGATAGTTTTAAATACGTTTTTTTTAAGACAAGCTTTTGTTAGTTATTAATCAAAATAAAATCGACTACCGTACCACCTAACTGCACATTTTTTTTGGAGTTATTTCGGACAATAAATACAAATATATCGACTCCTGCGCCACCTATCGGGTAAATTCCCCTTTATAATTGCATTGTCATCGGGTTCTGACCCAAGTTTAAAATTTCAAGTCTCTAGCTCATCGGGAAGTTGGTTAAAAATTGATTGCCAGATTTTATTACACACAGGTGAAACATAATAAAAGCTTGTAAAAAAGATTGAAACTGAAAAAAAATAAAAATTGGTGTACATTTTTCTCTTGGTGAATTTGTTTGCATCCGAAGCATCGATTCGTCCTTTGCAAGGCCTAAAAATCAGCGTTTCAGCTGCTGATTCAAGCGAACATTCCAAAAGCTGGGTTTCTATCGCTTTTTTTCATGAAAAAAAGGTTTCAGATGCGAAAAAATGTTGAAAATTTTAGGTTTTAGTGAAAAAATAACAATAATTGACATTTAAAGAGCAACTAATTTCAAGAAAAAAAAATTAAATCAGCTGCTTTGCTACTACTAACTGATCAACATGGCTACGATGCGGAATAGTTTTGTTGAAACCTTTAAATGGGAAATAAAATATTGCAATGACATTTTGGGCAATTTAAAAGGAATGGCAGTTTTAATTAAATGCGCTTCGATCGAATCGTTCTGATTAATCTTCAAAACGAAAAAAAAGTGTACCGTAAGGTATTTGAAATTATTGACATGATCTAAGCTTATAAATTATTTGAAAATTTATTAGGATTTGTNGAAGGCCTTTACCTTGTGACAGTCCTGACCTTTTCTTCTTTGTTAAGTGTTTGGCCGACCTGGGGTGTGCTTGACACTCTTCAACTCCTGGCATAGAAAACCACGGTAACACTGTGCTGGATACCAAGTTACTGGGACATTGAAGGTAACGAGGACGCCAACGAACTGGCCGAAGGAAGATTCTTATGAGCTCGGAATCACTTTGTCGACTCAGTTAGTACTCTTCGAGATTCGCAATTACCGAGTGGGGAATAGTAAGGGACCTTAGACAGGTGTGATGTGTCATCCTTACGCTAGAAAGGACATACATCTTTAGAATAGGGCCAATACTAGATGAACTTACTCAAAGGGTATTTAATAGCCATAATGATCTACCCGCTCACATGCACCGGATTGGCTTTATCACGGTGATGGAATGTCATCTCTTTAATGGATACGAAGAGATGTTGGAGCAGATTGTGTAATTGTCCAGCGTTAGCTAGGCTTAGATGGAAATATTTTAATTTATCCACAATCCAATCTCATATAATTATAAATTCGTCTACCCAGGTACTGACCCATCAAAGGATACAAACGTCGCTGTATGCCTTGCTCTGTAACACCCAATCTACTAACTAATTAACAAACTTTGTGTCGCCTTATATTCATCAAAAGAAAAGTCAGGATTTGAATGTACTTTTCAAATTGAAATTTCCAGAAAAGCCGAAAAATTCACGAAAAATAAACTACACAGGATTTGGAAAATACCCCAACAAAAACGGGAAGAGCCATAAAAGTATCAATACCGAAACATTCCAAAAATTAAAATCTGAATCTCGATAAACTCCGAAAAATCCACAACGTTCCCGAAAAATCCTTAAGTTATTTTTGGGGGTTCCGAGAAAGATAAAAAAATTTAAGCATTTCGAAATTTTTCTGATTTACATAAAATTGGCAACCCTCCGGTTTTGGAGTGCTTACTACAAATTCGGGTTCAGTTTTCTAATGTTCTAGAAACTAAGACTCCAGAATTCCTGTGGCGTTTTGATGTTGTACAGAAAAAACAAGCCCGTTTTCATTTTCTGAGTGAGGTTGTGGATTCTACGACCGAAAATCAATAATTATTCGCTATAAAAATTACTTACTATATACAGGGTGTCCTACACCACCCGTTCACTCCTTTTAAAATGGTGGAAAATGATTTTTATTGGAAAACGCAAAAATATTACCCACTAAGTCGTTGGATGCTCTGTCTTTTGGTCGTATAAGATTCAAACCACGCCAACTGTGTCAATGAATTTTCATTGATTTTCTGGAAAGTGAAGACAATTGTGGGAATCTGTAGATAATTATAGAACAAAAATACACTTTGGACGGTTTTTCGAAATTGCACTTCGTTTTTGTTTTTTTGGTATTATAAGAATATTGCAATTTTTGAGAGGAAAATTCGTAACTCGCGACCCATTTGATGAAATTTTTTTTGAGAGTTGTTGAAGCTTTTCCCTTTACAATAGAAAGATTTCCAGAATAAAATTTGCAAAACAAGTAATTCTTTTATAACAATAATTTAAACAATTGCAATTATTCATATATTCTAGGCCCGCGATTGCAGTGAAATTTAGGCACAATATACTCTAAACTCTTCTTTTTAAATTCCAAAACGAAAAAATTGGTCTTTCCGATTTTGACAGTCGCTATCGATGTCTGGTTTCGACCGAAAATGGGTTAGACTGACCGGTAGTCCAAGTTTTTTTAATGGAACATATATGCTTTTACCACAGACTCGGATTCTGCGGACAAAAATACATAACTTTTGTTTGAAACCTTTTTCTCTAAGATGGCTTTATCAACCTCTAAATGAACTTCGAGCATCAACTCGTCCTGGACTTTTAAAATGGACGAAAATGGTTTTATTGGAAAACGAAAATATATGAACTATCAAGTTGGGGATGTCATCGGGTTCTGAGCCAAGTTTAAAATTTCGAGCCTCTAGCTCATCGGGAAGTTGGTTAAAAATTGATTGTCAGATTTTATTACACACAGGTGAAACATAATAAAAGCTTGTACAAAAATTTAAAACTGAAAAAAAAAATAAAAAATTGGTGTAACTTTTTTTCTTGGTGAATTTGTTTGCATCCGAAGCATCGATTCGTCCTCTACAAGGCCTAAAAATCAGCGTTTCAGCTGCTGATTCAAGCGAACGTTCCGAAAGCTGGGTTTCTATCGCTTTTTTTCATGAAAAAAAAGGTTTCAGATGCGAAAAAATGTTGAAAATTTTAAGTTTTAGTGAAAAATAACAATAATTGACATTTAAAGAGCAAATAATTAACAAAAAAAAATTAAATCAGCTGCTTTGCTACTACTAACTGATCAATATGGCTATGATGCGGAATAGTTTTGTTGAAACCTTTAAATGGGAAATAAAATATTGCAATGACATTTTGGGCAATTTAAAAGGAATGGCAGTTTTAATTGAATGCGCTTCGATCGAATCGTTCCGATTAATCTTCAAAACGCAAAAAAAATGTGTATCGTAAGGTATTTGAAATTATTGACATGATCTAAGCTTATAAATTATTTGAAAATTTATTAGGATTTGCATCCACCTACCTCCCATAAATCGACATCCAATGCTGTGCTCGACTCTTTATTTGCCTTCAAACGTTTCGGTTTTGATTTCGATTTCGATTTGTCCTTCTTATCCATGTTGCTACGCGTATATAATATATAAATATGTATGTGTCGTAATATATAAATTTGAAACACAGCAGTTTTACTTTGCCAAGATGATTTGAAACTTTTTTTTGTTGAATTTTTATCTCAGTTGCAATTTAGTTTTAATTAAATGCAGCCTAAAAAACAACTGTCGCCCTGTATTTAGTCGTTTCGCTGCAAATATTTTCATAACTTTAAAAGTTCTGCTTTAAGTTTGTTGCGCCTTCAGCGTTGCTGCTTGTTTACATTATAAGAGTTATGTTTTTTTTTTACTTTTTTGTAGTTTAAATTTCACGAAATATTAATGGTTCGCACAATTAGCACAAATTTTTGTTGTTTCGCTTATAGCTGCAGAATATTGTTAAGTAGCGATTACTTAAGCGCATAGGAAGCTACTTCAAACAGAAATACATATACTGAACTTTTAGGAATTTTGCTCAAGTTATAGTTGTAAATTATCCGGTTGATTCCGTTGGCATTTCTAGTATTTTTTTGTTTCTTATTTTTTTATGCATTTTTCGCAAAGTTATTAATCATTTGTTTTCCTTTAAACTATAAACATATTTATGTAGGTACATATGTATGTCTTATCACTGCAGCACTTTCACTTATTCTCGTTTCAAACGTTCCTCCCGTTTCTGTGGCTATTGTAGATAATTGTTGCTAATTTTCGCTTATGATTTATGTTGCTCATTGTTGGCATTCATTTGTAATCTGGGCACCATGTGGCTGCCTCACTGTTGCTGCTGTGTTCTGGTCTTGTCTGACGCTTGTTGCCTGCTGCTTGCCGATTGTTGTTTGTGGTTATTGTTGTTGATTGCAACAAAATTGGCATAGTATTTCTTCAAGTAGCGTTGGCTGTGGTTTTGGTATTTAATACCAGCGTAATTTGACAAAGGCGAATTCTCAGCCAGCAATTAACCGATGAACCTTAGCGGACACTGAAATTAGTTGTAGATGGAATAAAAGAAATTTTGATTAATTGTATGTATTTGTAAGGAAAATTTTTAATTCATGAGTGTTTATATTAAAATTTATTAAGATTAAGAAAGTAAGTGATCAAAATTTTTTTTTTTTACTTTGATAAACCAAAAATAAAAATTTTAGACTTAATTTGTATTTAGATATAAAATTAACAGCTTTTTAGGTAAATTAGTTATTGAGATTTTTTTAGAATGGATTACCACAAATAATTATCGTTATATTTAAAGATATAAAAACGCAGTTAGCCATCGATATGGATTTTTTTATTGATAATATTATTGACATAGTGGCCGACATAATTTTGATGCTGTTCTCGGTATGTTCATAAAAATTTATTGATATATTTATGTATAGATATATTTATTGATATCGGTATCGATAAAAGCATTTATATTGATATCGATTGGTTAAAGCTTCAAAAAGAGTAAAGATTTGGCTTTTACGAAAAAGTAAATTCCTCAATTCCTCCAAGACGAAACAGTCAGCGATCGCCTTTATTCAGTGTATGTATTTTGTATTATCTCTCTGTTTTCGTTACCCGATTACAGCGTGCGACAAAAACCAAATACTTTCAAAAAAGACGAAAAAGTCAATACACTGACGAAGCTATTGGCAAAATATAGTAAAACTGTGTTTTTAGTTTGTCTCTCTGACCTCATGATATTTTTAAAAAGGATTCTGAAATTTCAAAGGCATGTTTAATAGATTGTTTTTTTTTTTTTTTTTTGTAAAATAACATGTTATTTACTCTCCTGTGAAGCATGGTTGTGGACGACATCCTACAGATACTCACTAAAGAGGGCATCCGATGCCAAGGTTACGCGGATGACATAGTGATTATCGCTAGAGAAAAAATCGTAAGTACTCTCTGCGACATCGTCCAAAGAGGACTCAGCTTGCAAAAAGGTGGTGTGCAGATATAGGTTTAAATATCAACCCTTTACCAAAAAATTAACTCGCCAGGGGATGAGGAACTTGACATTAGCTGGGGTCGTGCTCAATGTTGCCACATAGAGAAGTATCTGAGACGCCTTGAGGCGTGTAAACGAGAATCCTAAGATGGATGTACACCATGATAGCGAGACCAATAGTGTTCTACGGTGTGGCGGCTTGGGTTTCCAGGAGTACTCTGTCGTGTGTTTGAATCACGGGAGCAATGCGCACATGTCCGACGGCAGCACTGCAGGTAAAACTCGAGCCACTGCATCCCTTAGTAGAACAGGCTGCAAAGCGAACTCTCTTAAATTTTGCGAGAGGGCTTTGTCAAAAGCCCCTCAAGGTCTACAAATATGCCAAGGAAATCAGATTCTACGAAGCCGTCTCACAAGATCTTCCCGCTCGATAGGCATGTTGATGTATAGACAGGGAATGTGATGCAAGCGCCTCCCGGCGGATATGCAAGTCAATCTATTCGGATATTTTAGCATGGAAGAGATCAAGCGTATTCTCTAACTCTTGCAAAACCCTTACATGGTGCTTGGATTGCACGGCAGAACTGGTTTTTCTATGGGGAATCTTTGAAAAACGTGCAATGCGTACACCGAGCAAGGGTTTTCCAAGACACTAGAGAATACACCTAATGTGCTAATAGAGTGTGTTGTCTGTGCAATGGTTTCCCATGCCAGATTATAGACGCAAGTGTAGTGTATTTCCGGCCGGGTTACGGTCCAAATTTGAATCAAATCGGAATAAGTATGGGATTTTTAAATATATTGACTCCTGCGCCACCTAGCGGTTTAACTCATCTTTGATATTGCATTGTCATCGGATTATGAGATAAGTTTGAAGTTATCAGAAAGTTTAGTTAAAATTTATTGCAAGATTTGCAGTGTGCAACAGGTGAAACTTAATAAAAGCTTGTAAAAAACTTGGATATCTAAATAAATATATTAAACTTACCAATTATTTTTAGTTATTCGAGTAATTGACTTATCAAAACTCCTATAGAAAATAGGTTTTTGCATTAAATTTTAACAGTATAAACATTTTTTCCTTTGATTTATATGTATGTGTAAATAAAATTTATATGTATAAACTGTATAGTATAGTACTGATTTAAGTATTTTCACTGCTGTCAAATTTTTGCTACTGAACACACTACTAGCAACAACTCTTAATTTTATGCATTTTTCCAAAAATTTTAAATACTCGATTTGACTTACGAGTACATTTCCATAGATAAGTATGTGTGCCAACACTTTCGAGCAGCAAGTGTGAGTTTCACGAGTGAGTGTGACAGGTATATGCATAATTGGCAATAAAAAGTGCAAACTGAAGTAAGAAATTTCCTACAAAATGCGGAAGACTCGATTGTGCTAAATGTGCGCAATCGGTGAGAATGTGACCAATTATGGGTTGAAGAGTGACTCATAGCTGCGAGTAGCTTTCGATGCAACACGTGCAGCGTAGTGTAAAAAATTTATGCATTTTCTATATTTAAGAATTTCTCACAAAAGTGTTGCATACATACATACATACGTACTGTTTTTACTTGTCAACATTTCCATTAGTGTTTGCTAATCACTTCAAGGCAAAGTGCTAATTCGACTTTTTAATTTTGTTAATTGGTAATGAAATTTTGCGCATAAAAGTTTTACAACGGTAATTATCATTTCATTTTCAATTTAGTGTTTACGAATTCCTTCATTCTAATTGCTTGTGTTGCTTTTATGCGCAAATGGCAAACCTTTTCGTAAGAAAATATAAATTTTTTATAAGCTTTTAAAATTTTCATTTTTGTGTTAGATCTTAATTTCACGCTTTCCGCATAACTCTCTGTTATTTTTTCATATTTCAGTGCCTTGCAATTTGTTGTTTNTCTTAAGAAAATATAAATTTTTTATAAGCTTTTAAAATTTTCATTTTTGTCTTAGATCTTAATTTCACGCTTTCCGCATAACTCTCTGTTATTTTTTCATATTTCAGTGCCTTGCAATTTGTTGTTCGTATAATTTTTTTCCTTAGCATTTATTTACAAACAATTATGCTCATTCACACTTTTTAATTTGATTAATGCCTTGTATTTACGAACATTGGCCTCGGTTGAGCGGGGATTGACGTTTCAGAAACATACAGAGAAAAAAAAGAAGACTTCTACTATACACTTATGTATGTACGTGTTCATAAATATAAGCACATACGTATATATGCATCTGGCTCAATGGGGATTCCGGGATTTCGCAAGCTTATTTTTTTGAATATCTCAAAAACTATTATAGTTGGAAAAAAAAATTTTTTTTTGCGATGTTCAAAAACTCCTATTTAAAAAAAGACCTTGCAAATTTCAAGACGAGTTTTTATATTTCAACATTCTGTAATTTTTTAATTTTTCGAATTTGTTTAAATAAATATCTACATAACTTTGTTAATTTTCGAATTTTTTTTGTATATTTTTATAACTTTTTTTTTAATATACAATTTTCTTTATTAATTATTTTAAATATATTTTGTTATGTTGTTATTATTGTGGCGTAATAATATTTATCTACTTTTTAGCAATGTTATCAAGCTTTGCATCCCTTTGTTTTTATAAAAATATAAACGTTAAAAATATAAAAATAAATATGTATATAGTTTTCTTAATTTTAGAATTTTTTAAATTTATTTTTTATAACCTTTCTTTTTATAAAAATATCACCATTAGAAAACATAAAAATAAATATATTTTTTATTTTAGAATTTTTTAAATTAATTTTTTACAACTTTTTTTCTATAGAAATCTAACTTAATAAAAATAAATATAAATTTTTTTAATTTTCGAAATATATTTTATTGTGTTAATGGGCTTTTAAGCACTTTTTTGATAAACTATCACCTTTAAAATAAGGCAAGCCCCATTTCAGTAAGCGTAATAGTTTTTAAGATATGTATTTAAAAAATAAGTTGGCAAACTCTCAGAAATTGTGGAATTTAGACTTTTACTTAATGAGAAAAAGAAAAATGTCCTTTGGCAGAACTTTTTTAGACGATAAAAGAAAAGTTTTGACCAAAATCATCCAAATTAGAAATGGTCTATTCCAACCCTTGGTCGTAATTGCCTTGCAAAAACACTTCAGATTCGCATTTTTACAGCGAATGTTATTCTGGTACTGCCTAATGTACATACATACCAATAAATCTATATCTTGTAGATACTAAATATTTATTCTTCAATGACTTTCATTATACCTCTCAATTTATATTATGTGTTTTCTGTTTTTTAATTGACATTTCCTCTCTCATTCATATTGGCATAATCACGCGCAATTTTTTGTTTACTCAATAATTTCCACGACCTTTTATTGAATGAGAGCGCAGAATAAAAACATGTAAATATTACGCAGGGTATGCAGTCACATTTGTCCCTGAGATGCATTATGGCAATGCAAATACAAAGAGTGCGAGAAAATTTACTACGCATTTACACATACTATATATGTACATGTATTGACATTTGATTGGTTTACTTTATTTTGCATTTCTATGATTTAAATGCAATACTGAATGATTGGTTTGGAAAATTTTACGATACGTAAATATTTTAAATATCGCACACTTTTTGCAAGTGTGTCATAATCCAAAAAAAAATCAATAACTCGAAAGAAACAGCTTGAGAGTTTTGAATTTTCATATACTGCCCTAGTAAAAATTAATAAATAAATTGTTTTACATAGTGACCTACTGGTAATCAGTACAGATAGCATCAAAATTTTTCTTTTTTTCAGTCAAAAAACTACGAGTAGTAACTTAAAGTATGAGTTTTGCCCTTTCAAATGCTGTTGAGTTTGCTAAAATATATATATATATATTTATTATTATATATATATTATTTTTTTCTTCACTGAGTTGTGGCTACAATTTACCAACAAAGGTCACAGCTGCTGCAGGGCTGCAGTACGATGGCGTATTATTGACTAAACCATATAACTCATACGCCTACGTGCGCCATGGTAAACGTCGTTAAACGTG